ATTTTACTTTCATTCAACTTTGAAATCTGGTGTGACTTACAGCACGTCTCAATTTGAATGGGGCACTTTTCAAGTGTAAGAGCTGCGTGGTTATCAGCTGCTGTGCTGGGCAGGGCAGCTCTGCGGCCAGGCTGCCGCTTCAGTCTTTGTTCTTAACCTTTTCTCCCCACCATATGATGTGAATAACAACTTAGAAAGAGTGCTTTTCTGTTTTTTTTTTAAATGGCATGGACTCATTTAAAATGATCTCAGCAGGTGAGGATACTGATCCAAACCCAAGGCGTGGAAGCGAAGTGTGAAGTGCTGTGATTCAATTCTGTAACTACCCAAGGCAAGGCCCTGGCCAGCAGCATGGCTGAACATCTGGGAGTGGAGGATTTCAGTGATCACCAGGTCGTTAGGAGCCACCAGATCTGCTTGAACATTAGCATAATCTTAGCTGTGTCATGAGAAGCACGGGCGGATCCCAGGCAGTGCTAGCCAGGGATGGAGTTCTGTTCTGGGGACCTTTTGTGTGTGATGCAGAGAAAGCAGTGATCACCCGGCAGAGGACAGCCGGAGTGGCGAGGGGCTGTGAAGCCTGGCAGCCAAGGACTGGTGAAAAACACTGTGAGGTAGGAGGAAAGTAGAGGCACATTTGCTCACTTTCTTTGGCTGTGTGAAGGACTGTTCCGTTGAAGGGGCGCAACATTTTTTCAGTTGCTCTGGGTGGTCAACGTGAGGTCAGCAGGTAGGAGGCACGAAAGGCCAGATTTGAGGGCAGAGTAAGAGTAAGATTCTAGTAACAGAGCAACCCAGTTGCAGAATCAGCTGCTTTCTAAAGATGATCATGCCAGTCACACAAGTTTACAGCTTACGGGATATTTCATCCTATCTCCCTTCAGATACGCCACAGCCCCAAGAGATAGATACCAATGTCCTTGTCTAGTAGATAAGGAAATGGAACGGTCAAGAGCTTCCCCAGGCTCACTGGAGCTGGGCCTCGGCGTTTCTGGCTGGCAGGGTGGGCAGGTGCCCCCTGACAAGGTTGCCTCTTTCGGCCATCAGAGATGCATTAGGAGTGCTGAGTGTGTAAGACATAGGTGGGGCGCTAGTTCACAGGAACATTCACAGTTTGTCTCCTAACCTTGCTGGAGGAGCCTGACTCTCCCAAAAGAGATAGCTTGCCCAAAGGCCAAACCACCCTTCATTTTCTACCACTTAATCAGTGGCTGAGAAGTTATCAGCAGCAGGGGCGCTGAAGTGTTAAAGTCCTGTGGCCATTTAGATCAAAGTCAGAGAGTGGTTTCTCCAGAGGGTGGCGGATATGCAACTTTGGTGAGTCTTGGCCAGGGAGTTCTAAGGGGCAATCTTACATTTTTGATAAAAACCAAAGCCTTGAACTCGAACACAGCTGTGGGAAGTCCTTGCCGGCATTGTGTGGCTGAGGGATGGTCTCTGTCTTTGCTACAGAGACAGTCATTGGCCCCTGCGATGCCCCTTCATTTTGGGCGGAGCTGGGCACCACAGGCCTCCAGCACGGTCAGGCAGGCTGAGTCTGTTGCATTGTGAGGCATGTTTGGATGCCTGTCTGTGTTAAGGCTGAAGTCAGTTCTGGGGCTGTCTTTCAAATTATCCAAGGCCAAAGCTGCAAAGCAGCCAGCTTCCTGCCAGGTATGAGGAAATGACAAGCCTTCCCAACTCCCTAGAATCTTGGTTTTGGCAAGGAAAAATATCCCTGAATTTGAGACAGAAAAATAGTTCACTTCATGTTTCTGGCATAGATCACCAAGATCTCATAATTCACAGGACCATTCACAGTTTGTCTTCCAAGCTTGCAGGAGGAGCCCAACTCTCTCAAAGGAGATTGCTTGCCTAAAGGCCAAACCAGCTTTCATTTGATTAGGGAGAAAAATGTGATGTGCCTTGCTCTGAGCAGTCTGCAGTTGTGGTTCTTAGCAGCCAGGGCTGGGAGTGATGTGTCAGTGGTGTCAACAGTAGTCTTGGGTTTTTAGCAATCTTATGATTATAGAGCACGTAAGAAGTTCATCACGGACTCAACTTTTCAAGTCTATCGAAAAGAAAAATCCAAAAGATTTTTCTTCCACTCATCTGAGGTTTGTTTGTTTGGCTGTTTATGTATTTGCTACTTTATGGTCTTGCCTTTCCTTCTTATAAGTAGGAAGTTTTGAAACTTCCCAGTCTCCTTCCCCTGCAAGGATAACTTGTGAAGCCTGCAGAATTAACAGTAATTCAACTTTATGATACGCAAAATGGGGGTAGCTGGGCTGATTCCCCTCCTGCTTGAAGTAGGAAATGATTTCCTTCCATGTGGTAGGGCAAAAATAGCCAAGTGGAGGCACTTGCACATTTGCTCAGGTATAGGTTATGCAGATTTTGAGACGTAAGTCACATTCTGCTTCTGTTTGTGAACATACCTTGGCATGATGTGATTCCATGTGAGGCTATGGGGCTGGCTGCTAATCCTTAATGAACACACACCAGGAACTGGTGAACTTTCTCCACCAAGCTCAGTGGTGGGTTATCTGGCTTCTAAAATGACACTCCTACTTTCCAGAAGGAATGTGTTTATATCATGGGTCAGCTGTCTTCTCTAGCAGGGATGGAGAGTGGGGCAGGCCTGTCACAGTAGGAAGGACTAAACCAGGTCCATGATTTGCATGGCTAGGAGGTCCTGAGATCAGATCCAGTAAAAAGATATCAAAGAAACCTAGTGAAAATCTCTACCTCAGCAACTTCTCATGGTGGATCTGAGCTGCTGCAAACTGTTTTCATTGTGTTTGTTAAAAACGGTACAAAGTAGCTGCAACGGGGCTGCATCCCAGGTTCCCTGACCATTTCCCGCAAGCTTGACTCACACAACCACCACCATCTCATTACCCCTCTGACAGGCTAGGAGAACATGTGACACCAAGCATGTGGTCGGCCCCTGACCCTGAGGCTCGGCTGATCTTAGAGCGAGTGGAAAGGGCAACCCTAGGTTATCAGTTCCTGACCTCATGCCCTACTCATGCCCTACTCATGCCCTACTCAAAGACACTTTGAATCCTCCTGTTGTGTATGCTAGGCAGAAGTGAGGTGTGATGTTTCTCAGTGGATAAAATAGCTCTTTTTATGGAAGTAATGTATGAAAATGTTTATTTTTGTTGTACTTGGGGAGTAAGATGCTGTCATCTGAGAGTGCGTTGTCTACATGTTTCTGTCGATGTTTTTCAGATGTTCATGTTGTCTCTTGGCCCTCCTACTTTCTCCCAGAGATTGAATGGTATTTCTTAAATGACAGCATCTCAGGGACTTGATTGTTGGCATTTCAGTAAGAATCAGTATATCAGGGAGGAAAATCTGATTTCTGGAGGCAGTGCATTTTAAACCAGCCTTCAGTTACTACGTGTGGACCAAGCACAGCCCATCCAGACGCATCCACTCACTGTGCAGCCGCACCGCTCCCTCTGTTGTGGGTCCCTCATCTCCAGCCCCAAAACACCTCTCCTTTGACTTCTTTTCCTAACCGGTTTACATTTATGTAAAGTAATAGTTTTTTTAAGGAATTAAAACTGAAAAAGTAAATTTTGAATAAACTGTAAATGTTATACTGAACAGATTCTACCATCAAGAAGCCTTTCGGCCAGGCGTGGTGGGTCACACCTGTAAGCCCAGCACTTTGAAAGGCTAAGGCGTGCATATCACATGGTCAAGAGATTGAGATCATCCTGGCCAATATGATAAAACCTGGTCTCTACTAAAATACAAAAATTAGCTAGATGTGGTGGTGCATGTCTGTAGTCCCAGCTATTCAGGAGACTGAGGCAGGAGAATTGCTTGAACCCAGGAGGCAGAGGTTGCAATGAGCTGAGATGGCGCCACTGCACTTCGGCCCGGCGACAGAACAGGACTTCATTTCAAAAAATAAATAAAAGCCCCTTGTATTGATGTCAGCTATATTTGTTTTATGAAGTATTACTTTTTTAAATTTTTAATTACTTTGTGTGTGTGTGTGTGTTTTTGAGACAGAGTCTCACTGTGTTGCCCAGGCTGGAGTGCAATGATGCAATCTCAGCTCACTCTAGCCTCCACCTCCCAGACTCAAGTGATTCTCTTACCTCAGCCTCCCAAGTAGCTGGAATTAACGGGCACCTGCCACCATGCTTGGCTACTCTTTGTAGTTTCATCATGTTTGCCAGGCTGGTCTCAAACTCCTGACCTCAAGTGATCCGCCCACCCGGCCTCCTAAAGTGCTGGGATTACAGGTGTGAGCCACTGAGCCCAGCCTACTTATGTTTAAATTAATTTTCCTTAATTGTAAGTTTTAAAAACAAGAGAGTGGAGATACTGATGTTTTTTCTTTCAGGTTTCAGGAGGAGCTTTGCTTTAGGCTTGTGAAGTATAGTGTGGTTAAAGTATCATTTGTGTGGCATATGACTTAGCTATTGCTATTTTTTTCTACCATTGTTCACTTAAGTTTCCAAAGTATAATATTCACAAAAGTTAATGCCAGTGAGCATGGTCATCAGTTAATTTATGAGTAACTTGGGTATTTCTTTGATTCTAAAATGTACTTTCCCTCCCCCACTTTTCACCATCTATATTCTTTCTTGATGGATCTCAGATGAAATGGCACATAAAGTTCCTTGTCTAGGCATTTGTAAGATTCAGGTCTAGGTCATTTGCGTGAGTCTCAGTACCAGTTGAGATCTGGCCAATAAAAGCTCATTTTCCTGTTTGTTTTCCGTCAGGAGGACTTCTCACATTGGTTATTGATCAAAAACTTGGACTGAATCAAAGTTTGACATTTTCTTTGTGAATCATTATTTATTAATGTTTAAAATTTAGGAGCAAAAAAGGCATTTCCAGCAATTCAATTACAGATGCCATTTTTTTTTTTCAGCTTTTTCTGTCAAACAATTGTTCATTCCAAATCCTTGCTTTTAGAGAATAGCTGAGTGTGTAGGAAAAAAAGAGGGACCACTTGAGGTCTATTGCAAGAGAAATAGAGATCAAAGTTCACAACATACAAAGAATTTATTTATGCAATACAGGCCTTTTCTCAAATATTTTTCACAGAATTCCACACAGTAATCTACTAGAAAAGTAGAATTATACAACACCAAATAACATTGTTTCTTAGTACAAATTGCTAATCAAAAGGAAAGTGGAGATAGTTTAATAACAAATAGTAAAACAGGTGTTGCTGAATACAGCACCTGGTAGCCTCTATTATTTGCAAACCCGGAGAGGGAAGGGGGTGCCCCAATGATGGCTCCGCCCCATTGTCCGGGCACAGGCAGACCGCAGTAGAGAACTTTGGTACTTGCATTTACTTTAAAAGAAAAACAAAGGTTGTGAGCCCGAGAGCATTTCCATCATTTTGTTTTGTTGTGCTATGAAGATGAAAGATCAGGAAAAAACAGTAACTATTTCACACCTGCTATAACCTAGATTCTTTGTGCTAACCACACATAAAATAAAATAATCTCCCCCAAACCATACTTTTCTAGTCTAAAACATGCTTGAAGAATAATATTGATAGAATTAACTGAATGTTTTAAATTACATTTACCATAATTTAAACATTACTATTTAAATCCCAGAAATATTAGTGCTGAAAAAGCACAATTGTTTGGGAAAATACAGGACCTAAATTACAGCATAAAGTTTTCCTATCCCAATATTATGACCCACTTCCCCACTGTGAAAATCCTATTTCTCAAGCTTGTAGATGCATCGGATATGTTCTTCATAATATTATAGCTGGAATAAGTAAGTGGTTTACTTGCTCCACTGAATGTTTCCATAATTGGTGAAAATAGACTTCTCATTATGACTAAAAATATAGATTTTTTTTTTTAAAACTACAGAACCCAGCAGCCAGTTTTCTGCTTTGCTAATCCCCCCGCCCCACCGAAAAAGTCAAGCAAAGACTACAAAAATAGCAATTATTAGTAACTTTAAAAAATATTTTGCTTCTTTGAGCAAATTTAAGTTACATTCAGATGTGGTAGCTATTTCTAAGAGAATGATGCTCCAGGTACTGCTGCTCATCCTAGGGGCAGAGTCGGTGCACAGCTGTCACCATCAATAGCGGGTTTGGTATTCATGATGCCACCGGTTAAAGTCGTTGTAAAATAGCACAATGCTTCCTGAAGCCATGCCAGAAATGATGCACCTAGGAGAAGCACAGAGAAGGACTTTTACAAACGTGTGTTTCCTAGAGATGTTATAAAAACTGCTCTCCCCGAATCCACAAGGTAAATAAAGAAGATGGCAGTCAAACTTCCAATTCATGAGAACTAAGGTATGTATTTCATGACTTAAATGTAGCCCTGAGTAAGCTCAGAGTACTCCCTCTGACACTTCACAGGATCCAAGCCACAGCTTGCTTTTTCATTAAAAAGGGGTAAGGACAGCTGGTGTGTGCAGGATGAGTCAGTAAAACCTGAACAGATTTGGTCATTTCTAAAGGGGGACTGGGCTGGCAAGACCTAGCCTTTATAGAAGCAACAGAATTAAAAGAAGGAACAACAATCCCAAAGTAACTGTTGCTGAAAGCAGCAGCACACACTCAGTGACAACAGACACCACTTCTGACAGGTGCAGAAGCAATGAGTAAAAAAGAAGAGTGTTAACCATAATTTAAGGGGAGAAGTAGTCTATGTCCATCATGCTCTGGGTGAGGACCTAGTCCTCATAATACAGTGACTCAATCACTGAAGATAAGAACTTCTGCAAGCTTCTTGGTCTCTTGTCCCCAAAGAGGTGGTGCAGGGAAAAAGATGGAGAGCATAAGGTGAACAGTTGAGGGGAAACTTTCTTGGAGCTGTTCTAGGTATAGCCCAATTTTTAGACTTTTCCCTGTGTAGCTTGGTTAGAAACAGCCCTTAAAAGCCATATTCAGTATCCTTCCTAGTACCTCATATCAAAATAATTAGGAACTATAATGTGTCACTACAAGAAAATAAACAAACACAAAAGACAACAGTAATGAGGAAATGAGAGACAAAACTCTAAGGCAGAGAGAAAATAAATAGCAAATGGTAACAGTTGGTTTTTCCTTATCAGTCATTAAAGAGATTAAACTCTCCAGCCAAAAGGAAGAGATTGGCAGACGGATAGAAAACATGATCCAACTATATGCTGTCTACAGAGACCCATTTTAGATCTAAAGACAAAAAGCCTGAATGTGAAAGGATGGAAAAGATATTCCATGTAAATACTAACAAAGAGAGCTGAGCTGGCTTATACTAATATCAGACAAAACGGACTTTCAGTAAAAAACTGTTACAGGAAGCTGGGCATGGTGGTGCGTGCCTGTAATCCCAGCTACTCAGGAGGCTGAGGCAGGAGAATTGCCTGAACCCAGGAGGCGGAGGTTGCGGTGAGCCGAGATCGCACCATTG